TAGATAGATAGATAGATAGATAGATAGATAGATAATAAAACGATTACTTCTGTCTTCCAGTTATTGAAACTAAGACCTCTTTCTGTCACTTTCTACCAAAACGGTGTCTATCAATCTCTGTAGTTTAGTACGATTTGGTAATCAGTGTAACGTAAGTTATTTATGTTACGACAACCAGCCACAATTTCTGTCATATCTATGATAGATCTTATGATATATTCTCCTCGTTTATGAATGTCTAATTTCAACACCCAACAATTTTTATTGCTTAATTTCTGTCTAATTCCTAAACCCGCCTTTACTCGGCCTGGACAATGAATTCACGAGAACATCCGTAGAACAAGTTGAAAGCAACTCTGGATTGGTTGTGACACAGTTCGGGTTGTACCAAAGGCTTGCTGCATGGATGCCTGGTTATGTGTGGCGCGACCACCCGGAAACGGTCCGGGGGTTTTGTATTGTGTGGCTATGGGACAATCGTCAATTGAAATCTAGATAATGGGACTTTTGATCTGTTTTTGGAGTATTCATTAAGATAGTCCAAGGAGTTTCTTTCTTTTTTTTTTCTTTCTCTTTTTTATTTTTGCTTCCCTCCTGCTTCTCTGTCGGCTCTGTGGCTAAGTCGATGCGAACGCTTCGTAATGCCAGGATGCAGGGTTCGATCCCAGCTGCGGGCCATGCGCCTTGCGTTTGTTTCAGCCGTGGTATCAAGAAAGCTGACCGTCCAGCAAGCAATGGCAAACTACTGGACGTAAATTTGCCAAGAAAAACCACACAACAGCCAGGGGCTGTTGGGGTTGGTTCTGCAACGTCCTGTAAAGGATATGCAACTAACCTAACCTGCTTCTCTGACCCTACAAACTGATTTAATTCCGTCTCATTAAATACCATAGTTTTTTGCTGGGGAAACCCCCAAACCACTTGTTAACACATTTCTGGGTCTTCCTGTCTTGCAGGACTGCCCTGATCTTTTTGGTTGGATTTGGTGCAGTCAGCTCCTAATGAGAAGTGAAAATGAAGTGGTATTTTTGGCACCTCGAAAAAGGCGAACATGTTATTACACAAATAGAAAATTAAACACACCAACGTTGAAAAATTAGTCAAAAGATGCACATTGCACATCAAACCGTTGAGTGCACAAGAGCTCGGATCCACTCCGTGTAAATCCCGCAGCGTGCAGCGGCCGACGACACCAGTTCTGTGTTGGTTTCCTATTCTTCTTTGGCTTCTTGCATATTGCCCTTGTCTGGCCACACTTCTTGCCTTTCTTGCGCAGCCTGGCCATGTTTGCAGATTAACAGTCATCACTTGGTTCTCGCAGATGTCTCACTTCTCGTAGAGCACTGGTAGAGCCCAACACTGAATTTAAGTATGTATTGTAATGTATGGGATTCGCTGTGGCGCAATGTCGCAATGCTAAGGATTCAGGGTCGCAATGCTAAGGATTCAGGGTCGCAATGCTAAGGATTCAGGGTCGCAATGCTAAGGATTCAGGGTCGCAATGCTAAGGATTCAGGGCCGCAATGATAAGGATTCAGGGCCGCAATGCTAAGGGTTCAGGGCCGCAATGA